TTTTATTGATCGTTTTGAAACGTTTATTGATCATTTTGAGTCCAATACTGAGAGAATTGCAAAACTTTGTTTCACAAAATAGAGTGTTTTCTGTAATGTTTAGATTAAAACATCAATTGTTTTGATTGATTAGAAATATTGTATAAAATATTGTCGAAAATATGAGGTAAAGAGTATTTTTAGCATGTGTAATGTAATCGATGTATACTTTCGGTTATTTCACTACGGAAATATTTCGTAAATTAATGCTGTTTGATATCAAGTATGTGTGTAGTTTAATGCTTTCGATGTACGAGCGTATGCATATGAAGGGCAGGAGTGAAAGCTATGTGTGAATTGGCGCAAGAGCACACACACGACGTGGATAAAATGAAGTGGGGCAAAAGCACAAATGCGTTTTTCTTTACACAATATAAAAGTTTCCCAAGCACTCAATGAAATCCGAGAAAAATATTAATAAGAACGCTATGACGTTTTACGATATTTATACTACTTACAGCTGAGGTTGCTAAGAGCAGGTACCGAGTGTGCACTTCGATCCGAGAGGTCGCAAGTTCGAGTCCCGCCTTGGGCACGGTTGTTTGTCCATTGTCTCTCATATGTGTGTTGCCGCGGAGGGCCTCGCGTTCTGCTGACCGAAGATCAGAGGAGCCCGCAGGTGTGTTGGTTTTTAAAGTACGGTCGAATCGTAAGGGGCGCGGCCCATTGTAGAGGGTCGAAAAGGGTAACCGGTTGGAAAAGTCCTAAAAAATGTTACTTTAGACGTCATTTTTTCCTCTATGTATTTCTATGCTGATCCATACTGGTACACTGCCATTCTATATTAGTTATTATTAGTTTGAGCAATCTTTAACAGACTCTCAATATCTGAATAAATATTTCTCTTATAGTTCAAAAAGTTAATGAGTTTCTATTTCTCTGGTGGCAAAGGTGTGCTAGTGCTTACTTTTACCCCCTTGCCGTAAGGTAACGCGAATGTTAGTATTCAATATAATCGAAGTTCCTAATTCGAGAAACTAAAAATGGATCTCGGAATAGGTCAGATGAGTACATTTTTCAGCTTAACTTATATGCAAAATTGGGAGATCAATTGCATTGATTTAGTAGTAGACGATCAGATATCAAAAGTAGATCAACCATGATAAATATCAACGTTTAGAGTTAAAATAGTCTTCTCAAACCCTCGTACGCAGGTATACATTTTTTTAAAGACAAGGTTCTTCGGTTTGCAGAACAGAGGCGAAAACGTCCAAATTCCCGCAGTGTACCCAACCACAAAAAAGGTTTCGTCTTCTCACCACCTTCCGGTTTTTTATTTTCGCGTTCACTGTAGAATACCGTTGTACTGGAGGGTTTTTCATTCTAAAATTTCACGGTGACGTGAGTTTACGAGAAATGCGCAAGTTGATTTTGAGATGTCCTGTGTTAACCTTGGTAATTATGAACTCGCAATCTTTCCGCTCCGAGAATAAAAGTACGTCCTACGAAAATGTACAGTTTGAAGAGCCGCTATGTTGATTAAAGAATATTCAGATAATCATCCACAGTGGAGTCGTTTCTTTGCACAACGGAAGTTTAACTTATCGCATAAACACACGGCTAAACGAGAATCATATTACATATGAGAGGCACAGGCAGAGGCGCTATAAGATCAAGAACACTTCAACAGATTCATTTCCAACGAACAGTTTGAATTGGTGCCCTAATTTAACAGATTAGAACACATAAAGATGACGTATGCGTGACGTGTTCAGAGGCGTACGCAGAATTATTCTGTGTGAGTGCGTATGTGGGAGGATGTAGGTATAGAACGTAATCTACTTGTTGTTCCCTTATAAAGAATTTTTTTTATTTATCCTAAGTATAAAATTTATTTTTATTTGTTGATTTGTAGTTAATGTTTATAAAATTATCAGTTGCTATACTTTCGTTAGCATAAAAAATTAATTTTTGAATATGTATCATTTGGCTTCTGTGAGGGGCTGAAACAATGTGAGCCACTCCCTTCGCCCTTGGGTGCGTCGCTGGATATACATAATCTGTTGTAATATCAAAACTTCTTCGGTGATAATGGTCAGGGGCAGAAAATCGGGGTGCGGTGTTGGACAATTGTAGGTCAGACTCCCCATAAATATGTTTGGAATGATAGTTAAGTTAAATGAAAGCTTAAAATATGAAAAAAATACGACTGTATTGATTATGGGACTTCTTCCTTGGATGTAATAAAGTGTGTGGGTGGTAATCATTTTGAATTAATTGTGTAAAATTACAAACATTGGCTTGATGAGAGCATGGCTCCCTGTAGATCTATCATTGTTCTAATTTTAATTTCCCATGACAAATATAAATAATTGAATAAAATATTTTTAAAACAAGAGCGTAGAGTGATACTGAGGCAATTGCTCACATGTTGCAAATGGTAACATCACTCATTCAGCACTGAAATTGTAGATATCGCAAATGTAAAGCGCTCAAAATTCATAAAATACAAACTCCTTATTAACATTTTTTGAAGAATAAATATAAAGATACTTAAGATTTCGAATCTTTTATCGAAATTCAATTATTTTTGTAATCCACAATTTCAAGTTCGAACACTGCTGGGAACAGTGTGCGGCGAAAGATCGCAACGCCATCCCTTGCTCATTGACGGGACTTCCAAGAAACGAAGCCGCTCGCGGAGAAGACGGTCGAGCAGGTTCCAAAAGAATCCGGTAGAGAGCAGACTGGATCGACCTGCTCCTCGAGCGCTCTGTTCGTGTTGCATGGACATCCGCTCTCTCGAGTTATTCTTGGGGAAGGATTCAGAGCTCCGAGTTCTACACAATTTATGCTTTATTCAATGCTTGCGGTGAACAAATATTTTCATCCAACCCATGAAGTGCGGCTACATTTTACATTGTTCATTCCTATATTATCAGATCCGTGATAGTTAACACGGGTAATGGGTCTGTTTTTATGAAAAATGACATGTACTTCTTATGATAAATGATTTGAATTAGGAATTTAATATTTCCATAAGTGCGTTTAATAATGTCTTATAAATAAGAGGTACGTGTCCACCACGACACTGACACATGATAATAAAATTGCATGTAAGCTCTAAAGTGAACTCAGATTGACAAAAATAATACTATATGTAAGCAGTAGAGTAATTATAATCTTACTTTTAACACCGCTAACCAAATACGCACCGTAGGCTAGCTGTAAGTGCCAATCGTACAAGAAATTCCTCCACGTGGAGGTATTTCGGAAGCGAGCCTTAGGGAATTAACAGCCGACAAAATACATTAGGTTCAGTTCAGAAATCGATGACAAAAGAATGCAGGAAGGCAAGGTCGGCGTCGCGTAGTCCATTAGCTACTCGTCAGAGTGACTACTAGATAACACAGCGACCTGAAGTCCTGTAGCGGACATGAAAACAATGTTTTAAACTACGTCCAATCCTCCTTGTCCGTTACATCAGTTCGCTTCCTCGAAGTCTAACTTCCAAATACTTCGACGTATGACCTCAATCCGCTAAAAGAATGTACTTACTGTAACGTCGGTCTTCACTTGAAATCGATTTAACAATGAATATGTTCTTGCATCCTTAGCCGAAAATAATCCAAGTAATACTCTATGCACCGGTAAGAAGCGGCTATCTGACAAATAGACGAAACTAACGGTTTCAATCGTGATCTACGTACTGCCCACCTTCCAAAGAACCGCCATAGCTTTTCGTTTCGTGGTCCAATCAATCTGTAATATCATTTCATCTTTCAGGAAATGACAAGTACAAGATATGTTGTAGAATTAATTATTAATCCAAAAATTTTAAGTAAGAAGAAATGTTTTACTTTAAGATATTTCATGCACGTGAGACTAATTAATTCATATTTATATTAAATTAAATTAATTGGCAATGTTCTCAATCCATAACAATAATTAAACTAAAGGTAATTCGACTAAACATACTTTCTCGCTTTTTTTTAACCTTTTTAAATTTTCAAAATTTCATTGATTTCAACGAATATCGGACATGCACAATTTTTATTAGTGTATTTCCCACTATTTGAGAAAAAAATGCAAGAAAAGTTTAAATCCCTTGTTGAGAAAGAAACTGTATAAAAAATTTAAAAACTGCCTATATTCGTGCAAAAGTACTCAAAAGCTACTCATATTATTCAAAGAAATTGTACGTGATTAAAGAACCAATTTGTGTCCAGCGTGTCCATAAACCAACTTTTCGGTAGCAAGAATCCACGAAAATGAATTCTGACAACACAATGTCATATAGGAAGTATTTTTACTATATGAGAGAACAAAAATAATCCACTTTTTCGGTTTTAGACCTACGTCACGAATTTTTCTGCCGTAAAATAGACGGCTTTTTCCTGCAGCATTACTTAACTTTCATAACTTATAAAAAGTATTTTTTGAAAAAATTATCTATTTACAAAACATGAAGAATTGAGAGAATTGAACCCTATATAACAATAGTAATCCAGAAGCATTTGCCTACACTAGAACATGATGCCCATTTATTCTAAGATTTCACGGAAGATATTTGATGATACTGATTTAATTATACATTCTTTACTTCCTGTACCTACCAAAAAGGCAAACAATAACAAGATAAACAGCAATGAAAATTAGAGAATTGTTGTCAGTTACTTACCGATGACGGAGGTAGAAGTTGTCCAGATTTGGTTGGCACTCCTGGCCGATATCCTTTAAAATGACTCCACGTAGTACGGTCAACATTCTTGTGAGCCTGTATCCTTTGAACTAGCACCAGATATTACACACTCGCGCACTTTTTTCACAGAGTTAAAATTCGGCAAAATCTTTTCTTGCCACCCTCCTCGAGGGGAAAGCTTAGAAATCGGAAATTAATATTGGGTCCACACTTTTCCGCGGATTAGGGCAGAAAGTGGAAGAGGTCTGAGCGACGTCCGCATCAGACTAGAAAAGAAGGCGAAGACTTGAAACTAAAACCAAAAAAAAAAAAAAAAAATTCAATCAATCCCGCGCACACGCACTTGACTAAAAGGGATTTCTTGGTCCTGCTCGCCGCCTATAATAGGCAACATGTGTCTGTACTGTTCGGACGAAGTGGGCAGCATCCTCAGCAGCTTGCTCTTCCGTTTGAAATCGGCGACCTGCGCGTGTTCTTTGAGAACGGCGTAGATGGGGTCCCGGTCCCTCCGGGCGGTGACGGTCCTGCCGCCGTGCATTCGGAAGGCCTGGAAGCGCGCCATCATGTCCTCGGCCGCACTGTCGGGGGGCGCGCCCGACCCCTCCGGCGCGGCGAAATCGGCCGCGGGCGGGCCGGGGGCGATCACCATGTGGCAGCCGCCCACCGTGTTGGCGCGGAAGCCCTCGCCGCAGGGCGCCGGCGGGCGGCGCGTGGCGTTGGCCTGCACCACGAAGATGGTCCTGCAACCGAGCGGCACGCCCTCCGTCTCTCTCTCTCTCTCTCTCTCTCTCTCTCTCTCTCTTCTTCTCTCTTCTCCTCTTCTCTCTCTCTCTCTCTCTCTCTCTCTCTCCTCTCTCTCTCTCTCTCTCTCTCTCTCCTCTCTCTCTTCTCTCTCTCTCTCTCCTCTCTCACCTCCCTCCCTCCTCTCTCCTCCCTCTCTCTCTCTCCCTCCCTTCTCTCGTCTCCTCCCCTCTCTCTCCCCTCCCTCTCTCTCTCCCTCCCTCTCCTCCTACCTCTCTCTCTCCTCCTCACCTCCCTCACCTCCCTCTCCCCCCCCTCTCCCTCCCTCCCCTCGCCTCCTTCTCTCCCCCCCTCTCCCTCTCTCTCCCTCCCTCTTCCTCACTCCCTCTCCCTCACTCCCTCTCTCCCTCACTCCCTCTCTCCCTCACTCCCTCTCTCCTCTCCCTCTCTCCCTCTCCCACCCTCTCTCTGTGCGTCTTAGGTGGCTCACGCAGTGGCAGCTCGTGCTTGGGTTGCACGGTCACAGATAAGCAAAAAAATATTTCACATTATCTTAGAAATATCCATTTTACTTTTAATGACATTCAAGATATGGCAGCAATATCGATGAAGTACATGAAATCATTTTGTAACCTAAGAGCGTCTAACTGGCGCTCTCTCACGCGTCTGGTGACTCTCTGGTATTGCACCAAGCTGTTGGCTCTATTACTGGGTTTACTGCATTTACTCTTTGGTCCTTTGCTTTAGCACGGGTCTTTGGTGACGCAACCAAATGGATGGAAATGGATGGGGGGTCTTGTCGCCGAGCGCTGTGAAGCGCTGCACGGTGACCGAGGTAGTCCGAGGAGATTACCAATATTGTGTCTTCGTCTGACTAGCTGAAACTTAATTTTATGAATTTCGCGTATTATTGAAAGTAAACAAGTTCAGTCAATTATTGACGGTATTCAATGCATTGTTTATAATTTTGGAGAATGTGTTTTCATTGTACATCAACCGGTTTGTTGATTTCAAACGTACAATTGTTGAGTTCTTTGAGTAAAGTTGGCCGTTCTGGATGGAACTTTGGGTCTCGCGGAAGCCAGTCTGTCAGCAGCTGGCCAGCAGTTTCCGAACGTTCTTGTGAATTCGAATGTTTTTAGATCATTCATTATTGCAATGTATACCAGGGTAGGGAAGTTTCCGAAATAAAATAATTTTATTAGTACAAATCGTGTCCAAAAAATAGTGTTTGTGCAACAATCAAAGCTATAACTACGTGCGCCAGAAGGGAACATATCGGACGCGGACACTACGCGTAAAAATATGTACGTAACATTTCAATACAGATTCTCATTAAACATAGTTTTAATTAATTTACATGAATTATATTTTATTACAATTTACATTTTATTATATATTAGCGTTCTGAATTTTGGAAATTCCGTCATTCGATGGAGCTACAACCTCCACATTGTTCGATCACCAACCGCCCCTGGGCTGAGGGCATCTATTGAGGAGCTCTAGTTGAAAAGCAATGAAATACACAATCGTAATTTTACAGGAGAAGCAAAAAACTGTTTAGAATTTCCGTACGCGATATTTCCTTCCTTCTTATCCTCACCACTCACTTACACACACACTGACATGCACTACATTTCCACAAATACCGTGAGACCAGTCGGGAGCTTAGAGCTCGTCCCTACTGGGGAATAGGATAACCAACTCCTTCTCCATGAACATGGATCTGGGTTTTATACCCGGGACGAGAAAGAAAAAAATCTAGCTCCTACAATCCACGAGCGTGTTCAAGAGAGTGTGGCTGTGAAAACAGCGGCTCCTCTGAGTATGCCTGGTGCCACGCAATGTCTTTCGTGCAGTAAAGATCGTTTTCGTAAACTCGTCGAGCCAGAAGATGCATTGGCACAGCCTGGGTGAGGAAAGCAATAGAAAACTATCTCACTGCTAATGGCTAAATTCGCCTGTTTCTCTCCCAAATCGGTTAGAGGGACTATAGCTGTATACCGAAAGACTTTTTTAAACAAATATCCGCCCGTGATGTGCGCCTGACAGCATTGGCAACAGGGTATCCGTCAGTGTATGGATCTATCAGTGTCTCGGATAATGCGTCTCAGAGGCATCCGACAAGGTGTCTGACGGAGTGTACGACAGCGCACCCGACAGTTATGCGACAGTGCATCCAATAGTGTACCCGACAGCGAATTTCGACAATGTATGGGACTCTGTGTCCAACAGTGCATCCGATAGCGCACCCGTCAGTGTAAACGACAGTCTGATAGTGTATACGACAATGTGCATCTGAAGCAGTGCATCTGAAGGATGCCCAACAGCACGTCAGGCACATTGGAGTCAATTTCAATTATTTTGACAACCATTATACTCTACCTTTCTCGTTTATGTTCACTTTTTCCAATGATACCACTCCGGGTTCGACTGTCCAGGCCTCTGTTTCACTTGGGACTTCGTCTCAATTCGCAGCAAATACTGAGAAGTTTCCTCGCCCGCTTTGCAATACGATAATGAGTTTAATACATTCCTCCCATGCATCACAAGTAGTACGTACTCATTGACTAGATTATATCTTTAAATTAAAACTTTTATTGAATATTTCATTCAATAATGTAGCGTTTGAAATTAGGAGACTAGGCATAACAGTGTTTTACATTATGTCTTCTATTGTTAGACATTTAGATTAAGACTTGACGTTTAAAAAACTCATTCACTATTATTTTTTCACGACATTTCTCTTTCGAAAGGCGCGACTCCCGACTATTCCACAACCACACACAATGTTTGTCACATTTCCTATTTCGCTCGTTATTAATGCCTTCCTCGGGTGATGACTTGGAGGCGTGGCTTCCGGTAGACATTTTTGCAATCGAACCGCGAAACGGATGTCATGTTTATGAGGAATTGTTAGAGGCACCTCCTTCTGAGAACGGCAGTGACGTTACTAAATGGATACCACAGTTATTTCCGTTCATAAACGAGTTGCAAACGTGTGCACGCCTTTTAAAACAATAATATGCATGAATATTTTGTTTACATGCTGGTAATACTTTAATAAATAATTGTTTTCTTTTTAATCTATAACGTAGGAAAAACATTGTGAATTGGAATGCCGATATACGTGTGCGGATAGACGCGTTACATACGTAGTTACAATTTTTACTCAACAGAAGTCGTAATCGCAAATATGAACATTCTAGTTAAAATAATGATGACAAAAATATGACACTAGACTGGATATGGAGAAGATGTAAGAGAGGAAGAAGAAAGAAAGAAGTACGAGAAGAAGAAGAAGAGAAAGAAAAAGGATAAGAAGAAGAAGGAGGAGGAGAAGAAGACGAAGAAGAAGATAAAGAAAAAAGAGAAGTAGAAGAAGAATGAGAAAAAAGAATAATAAGATAAATAGAGAAGAGAATAGAAGAATGAGAAAAAAGAAAAAGAAGAAGAAGAAGAAGAAAAGAAGAAGAAGAAGATGAAGAGAAGAAGAAGAGAAGAAGAAGAAAAGGAGAAGAAGAGGAACAAGAAGAAAAGGAGAAGAAGAAGAGGAGGAGAAGAATGAAGAAGAGGAGGAGGAGAAAGAAGAAGAAGAGGAATAAGAATCAGAAGCAGAAGGCGAAGAAGAGGAATAAGTATCAGAAGAAGAAGGTGAAGAAGAAGAAGAGGAAGAAGAAGAAGAGGAAGCAGAAGAGGAAGAAGAAGAGAAAGAAGCAGAATAACAAGAGGAAGAAGAAGAAGAAGAAGAAGAAGAAGAAGAAGAAGAAGAAGAAGAAGAGGACGGGGAGGAGGAGTATGAAGAAGAGGAAGAAAAAGGGGAGGTGCGCATGTGGCCTGGCACTGACCTGGAGGCTCTCCGCCGCGCGGCGCCCACCTCGACGCGCTGGTCCGCGGGGGCCGCGCTGCGCCGGGTGGCGTCGGCGTCGTCGTCGGCGGCGGCGGGCGGGCGCTCCACGCTCACCCACGCGCGCCACGCCAGCTCCCCCGGGGAGCCGAGCGCGTCGTCCCCGTCCTGCAGGCGGCTGCGCGCGCGCCCCGTCCGCGCCGCCCCCGCGCTCGCCCCGCGCAGGCTCAACACCTGCAGCGCCAACAGCAACAGCAGGTGGCGGCCGCTCGTCCTCATGGCTGCCTAGGCGTGCTCACGCCTCCGGCCGCGCGCGCGCGCAGCTGCATCGACGGTCCTGGACAGCACCTGCGAACACACGCACACGGCCATTGATTCGACTCCGGCCGCGTCCACTGCTTAGCCCTGTAAGCGTAGTACATGTTTTGTCATGGGAGATCAGTCGCCGCTAGATGGCGAGATCATTCGCCGGTCATACACGTCGACTTGCAGGGTTTCTCCAACCAGGTATCTCCCACCAGCGGAACACCGCTCCAGCCGAGACAAACACTTAACTCCCGACTGGTCGCCCGACATGTATGGTAGTGTAGTGCTTGTGTGTGCAGGTAAGGGATAGAACAAGGAAAAGGAAGGGAAGATCGCCCGCAGTCCGTGGCCCGTTGTTAGGGTACTACACTGGCATTAGCCTGGTGCTTAGAGTTCCATTTGAATTGGGCGGTTCTCATCTGGGGAGATACCTGGAGGAACCGTCCATTTGAATTGGGCGGTTCTCATCTGGGGAGACAACCAACCGCTGATGTTTAGGTTGACTCCATATCTCACCTCCCAGCTACCTCCAGTGATGTAATACACACATACGAGAACGAGCGCCTACGATTGTAGCTGATGCGATCAGAATCACTCAATAATCAATTATTGAAATCCAGAATCTGCAAAATACTATCAAGTAGCCCCTTCGGTATTATATCAGTAGCGGCTCGTGTCTTTCACAGTTAACTTGTATATTCACAACATCCAAGCCATATAAATACGCTATTGGGAGAGTCCTCTTGCTTACCTAT